CCAGCTCTCACCCAGCAGTGTATGGGCACAGGATCTGCCCTGGTCTGGTCCCAGGTCACCCAGCACAGGTGACAGTGGCAGGGAAGTGCCCACATTTGTCCCTGCCCATGCCAGGGTGGGACAGCAGCAGGGAACAGAGCGCACAGGGCAGCCCCTGTGGGAAGAGCAAACTGTAAAAGACGAGGCAGACAAAACATCTGGCAGCTGCCTCAAATAGTTCTGTGTCTGAAGGGCAGACAGGCCTGCAGGAGATTGGAATGAGAACACGTGCAAAGGCAGGATGGTGCTCCACTGTGTTCTGTGCAAGCACTGAATGGGTTTGTTGCTTTCAGCACTGCTTTGTAAGCCAAGAAATGCTGTGCTTTGGGTTAGGTTCTTAATTTGAATAAACTCTAGTAAATAAATCACTGTATTTCCTTCTCCAGTCAAACACAACTTTGGCATAAGATGAACAGCACTAGGAAGCGTGTGGGAGAGAGGAGGGCAGTGTGCTGGGAGCTGCTTTCCACAATTGTCTCACCTTCTCCAGGAGAAAAGGTGTGGCTGCCAAAACGAGTTCCCAAAAGCGTGACGCACGTTTCTTGAGCTCCCACATCCCAGGGAAAGGGAAAACTGCCCTGGTGCTGGCGGAGGCTTGGCAGGTCCTGGGCTCCAACAGGGGAGGTGTCTGGGCTCAGAAACAAACCCAGTCCTGCAGACAAAGCAGAGAATTGGCGGCTGCCTCCCCCTCCAGGCTCCTGTCCTGGCATTGTCAGAGCTGGGAGGATGCTCAGCTTTGGGCAGGAGTGGGACCAGGACAGGGACCTGCCCACAGCAAGGGGACAAGGCTGCCAAAGAGGGATGACACATTTCCTCACCACATTTCCTCACCATATTTCCTTACCACATTTCCTCACCACTCCTCCACTGAGCACTTCTCCCCTCGAGGCTTTTCTGCACACAAATCGCTTCCACAACTCCCAGGAGGAGCCAAAAGCTCCCGCAGTGCTCGTGCAGAGCCCCAGGATGCCAAAGCTCTCTGAGAGAGGCTCCAGCACAGGCAGGCAGCTCCCAGGGCCAGGAGCAGCTCCCAGAGCTGACCCTGGTGAGTCAGCAGCGAGGAAGAGGAGGAGGAGGAGGAGGATGATGCTGGCAGGGGTGGCTCTCAGGGCACACGAGCAGAACCTGCAGCTTTTCCTGCCCCTCACACGCTGCCAGGGCTGGGATGGAGGCAAGAACAGCAGAGCTCCGCTGATTTATTGGGAGCTGCTGCGCTGTGATATCATTTGTTGATCCCATCAGGGCCAAGCCCCGAGCCACGACTTCCTCCCCCGTTGCCATGGCACTGTACATAAACAGGGCAGGCTCCCAGCCCCGGGCAGGTCATTTGCTTCAAATATTCCATGCAGCTGGAACACGAGCCTGTTTGGGTGTCTGGAGCTGAGCATGAACTAATTCCTCAGTTCTGTGCACCCTGAGCCACTCCCAGCCTGGGCTGAAGGGAGCTGGGCAGGACCAGGCACAGGGACAGAATCAGGGACAGAGCCAGAGCCAGACACAGGGACAAAACCTGGCACAGAAACAGGCACAGGGGCAGAACCAGAACCAGGCACAAAGGCAGAACCAGGCTCAGGGGCAGAGCTTCCTCAGCTCTGATCCCTGAATCTGCTGCATGCTGGAGCTCAGGAGCTACAAACCCTCTTAATCATGTGGTTTTCCACATGTAAGAGACACCCAAAATTTAAAAAAATAAATCTTATCCTGACTAGAGACAAGACAAGAAAGCACTTGCCTTTTTCTGGGCCCTCCCTCCATCCCCAGCACCCCGTTAGGCAGCTGATTAATTAGGCATTAGTTCAGGCTGTGTGTGTGGACTCATTACAAGATTTGGCTTCCTCACACGACTTGGTGGCTGCAGGGGGACAGAGAAGTGTGGGGGGCAGGAGGAGGACCTGGAGCCTCCATCACCACGGACAAAGCATCACCACAGCTGGAAAGAAGGCACAGCAGCAGCAAGCAGTGCAAATCCAGCTGCAAATCCAGCTGTAAACCAGAACCCAGGGCTGTCCCATCCCAGGTCACACCCAGCTCCATCCCTGAGGCACTGAGGGGCTGCACACACATTTCAGATGCAAACTGTTATTTCTCCAAGCAGGGATGAGGCAGAGGCAGCCTCTGCCCTGCCTGTCTGGGCAGGCTCCCCAGGAATAAACTCACTGCTCGTGCAGAAACACAGCACAAAGAAACCTGATCATCTCATGCAAATAAACCCCACCACCGAGCAATATTTAATAAAGTTTATTAGGTTACTGAGTGCTATCTACAGTCATAAAATAGAAAGGATTTTAAACGGTACAGAGTCATGTCCTGGTGAGGTGAGGAGAGATGGAAGTGAGGGAGCACAAAGGGCAGCAGGAGTAGGGAGAACACAGCTTCTTCCCTGCAGCTCTGGAAGACACTGGTTCGAGTTGAAGGCAACCAAGCAGGGCTCCATACACTGAATTTTGTGTCCCACCCTGCAACAGAAACTAGTACAAACCCCTACGTTGAAAAAAAAAAACCTCATAGAATATTAGAATAAAAAAGGGGCACATCACACCCCACCCAGTCTTGGCACCAACTCTGTGCTTTAAAAAATATACTATGCAAGTAGTTTATTTTCAAAAAGGTACCCTACAGCAGCTGTTTAAAACATGTTCGTATACATACACCCCACATATATATATTAACATTTTCAACCACTAAACTCATTTGTACCTACACAAAACTGAAGGGATAACTCAAAAGCAAAAACAAACAAAACAATCACACAAACATTTTTCAAGGAAAAAAACCACACAAAGAAATGTGCAAAATAACCCCAGAAAGGCAGCATAGTAACCTGCGGAGAGGTCAAGAGAGCAGCTCCTGCTAACACAGGAGTGTCACCTCTTTACTTGGCTACTGAGGATCTATTTGGGATGTGCTGATTTTGCCTGAATTGCTCGTCCTGTTTATTGCAGCTCTCTCCTGCTCCCCAGCTCTGGAGAGGTTCAGTTCCCTCTGCTGTGCCTGTCTGAGCCCTGGGGTTGCTGCTGGAGCCCCTGAGACCCTCGTGGGGGACAGAGGGCAGGGAGCCCCTCTGCTGCAGGGTGTGGGGGATTGGGGTGCTCTGGGACAGACTGAGCCTGGCTTGGGTGGATTTCAGCAGCTCATCAGGGAGAGAATTCCCTGGCAGTGCCATCAGAGAACGGGGAGGTGGCTCTGAGGGCTGAGCATGGGGCAGAGCCCAGGGGACAGGAGCTGCAGCTGTGACAGATGTGTTACAGATGTGTGACACACACAGCTGGGTGACAGCTCACACACACGGTCCCAGCCCAGCCAGGGACCACAGAGCAAAGCTGCAGCTCTCAGCAGGAAGGAGGAGTGTGGGGACACAGCCTGACTGCAAAATCAGCTGTGAAACCCCTGGGAGCAGGATGAGCACTGGTGCTAAACAAGGCAGCAGGAGTCACCACCTGTGAGACAGCAACAGAGCAGGGTGAGGATCCCAGCACAGACACAGACATCAGCAACACAACCACCTTCTCCAGGCTCAGAAGGGTCCTGGTGGAGGAAGGGCTCTTGGTTTTGGTGTTTCAGGGCTTGGGGTTGTACTTTTTTATTTTTTGGCTTTTAAAAACTCATCAATTAATTCTTTATGGTACTCCAGACTCTTTCCAACTCTGCTGGCCATCCTGAGCCTCTCCCTTCTCAGGACGTGGTCTTGACAGTTGCATTCCTAATGCCTCCTCTTCCTCAGATCACGTTTGAATTCTTACTTTTACCATTATTCTTTTCTCACCATCCTTCCCTTTGGCTGGAACAGAACCATTCCCCTGAACCCAGGGAGGCAGCACAGCCTCTCCCAGGAGGAGAGGGGAGCACAGGGCTCTGGCAATGTTCCTCTGCTCAGTGTGCTGGGGCAGGGGCTCCCGAGCAGCAGAGCACTCAGCCCGGGAGGCTGCAGCGGCGGCAGCAATGCAGGGATGCAGGGATCCATCCTCGGCCATCAGCTCCAGCAGGGCAGGGCCCGGGGCAGCTCCATCCACCTGTGTGCTGGCGCTCGGCTCACTGGTAGAGCAGGTAACTCTTGAGGGAGGCGGGCAGGGGCAGCGTGGGGATCTCAGCCAGCCGCTCCTTGCCCAGCGCCAGGCGCACAGCCCGCCGGCACAGGTCCATCAGAGGCAGGGGCTCAGCTGCGGACAGAGCAGAGACATCAGCAGCCCTGCCCGGGGGAGCAGCCTCACCCGCCCACCCTGCTGCTTGTGACCCCCAGAGAACTCTAAGCAGGAGCACTTAATGCCCAGCACAAGGTGCACACTCACCCACTCACCCTGCTGCTTCTAAACACTCAGAGAACACTGAGCCAGAGCACTGAATGCCTGACACACGGTGCACACTCACCCACTCACCCTGCTGCTTCTGAACACCCCAGAAAACACTGAACCAGAGCACTGAATGCCCAGCACAAGGTGCACTCACCCTGCTGCTTGTAACCCCCTGGGAACATTGAACACCTGGCACAAGGTGCACTCACCCTGCTGCTTCTAAACCCCCCAGAGAACACTGAACACCTGGCACAAAGTGCACACTCACCCTGCTGCTTGTAAACCCTCCCAGGGAACACTGAACCAGAGCACTGCACACCTGGCATGAGGTCCATACTCATCCTGCTGCTTGTAAACCCCTGGAGCTCTGAGCAGGAGCACTGAAGCCCTGGCAGGTGTGCAGCCCCTCAGCCATCCACATGTCCAGCCCACCAAGCCCTCCAGCAGGGCACCAGGTGTGTCTGCAGGCCACTCCAGCCAGTGAGTGAACGGAACAACCCCACAGCAGCAGCTGGAAGTTCCTTCTCTGCAATTCCAGCCAGAACACACCTTCCACCTCATGCCTCTTGCTGCAGTACCCAGAGCTTTGTAGAGTGACAGCAGCCAGAGCCTCAGGGGTCTGGGTACCCTGAAAGCAGCATGATTTACCTCACACAGGAGGGGAACAGCTGCCAGCCCCTCATTTACACTGCAGAGCTCCCAAGGAAAGCAGAGCCATCTGTCAGAGCTCTGCACCCTGACAGTTCCCTCCCGTGTCACAGGCCCAGGAAGGATACAAGCCCTTGGCTATCTTTTTCTGCATCCTGTACTTAACCCCCTGAACAAGATAATACAAGTTTTTCAGGAATGGCACACGGGCCCTTGGCTGCTCAGGAGTCACTCACAGCAAGAGGGGACTGAGGTCAAAGCCAGGCTGAAACACCCCAGCTGCACAGGAGGAAAAAATCACTGCTGAGCTGCCAGAGCTCACCCTGACCCTGCTCAGGCCTGAGGGGCTCCTCCTGCCCCAGCCAGGGCTGACACATCCCAAAGCAGGTAACTGCCATCCTTCCGTGGCCTGAGGGCTCTGCTGCACCACCAGGGAGCTGCCTTTGCTCACTGAAAGCACCCACAGACAGGTGAGCTTGGCTCAGAAGCTGCAGCTTCCACAGCTTTGGCAGATGCCTCCAGCTCCACAATACATGAACCTGACTTGCCAAGCCCAGCATCCCCACTGCTGCTCTGTGTCACCTGTCCTGTGTCACCTGTCCTGTGCCCAGCACTGCCCTGTGTGCTGCTCACCCATGCCAGGGACAGACACAGTGCTGCTCTGTGTCACCTGTGCTGTGCCCAGCGCTGCCCTGTGTGCTGCTCAGCCATGCCAGGGACAGACACACTGCTGCTCTGTGTCACCTGCTCTGTGTCACCTGTGCTGTGCCCAGCCCTGCCCTGTGTGCTGCTCAGCCACCCCAGGGTCCCTGCTGCCCCTCCCCGGGCACAGACACTCTGCTGCTCTGCCCTGAGCCTGGCTGGGCACTGCACAGATCCCCAGCACTGGCAGCACGCCCTGGCACTGCCCATTCTGAGCACTGGGGCACAGACTCAGGGTCTGCATTCAGAGCCTGCCCCAGTTCTGCCTGCCCTGCACAGGGACAGAGGCACTGCCCAGCAGCACCCCCAGCACAAGGGGCCTGACCCCCAGAGCCTTCAGGTACCCACAGCACAATCACATTTCAGTTCAGGGGCCTCTAAAGGAGAGGCTCTTCCACAGAGACTCAGGTCTGTCCTCACCTGGTCTGCACTGAGCGGAGCAGCAGAGAAAGCACACACACACACACACACAGAGCTGACCTCCTTCCATTCACAAGCACCACAATAATCCCTGGACAGGGCTGCATTGAGTGCTCACGAGTGCTCAGAGCCAGACACCTTCTTTCTGTCAGTGCCAGAACAGCATCCATCCCTGCTGGCCTGCTGCCCACGGTTCACTGCTCAGCCCAGGGCTCACACACAGCTCCAGCCTGGAGCCCTTCCCCAGCCCAGGGCTCACACAAAGCTCCAGCTTTACTCAGCCCAGGGCTCACACCACAGCTCCACATTCCCTGCCCTGGAGTGGAGCTGCAGGGCTTGGCTTGGACCCTGCGATGATGCTTCCCAGGAAGGGAAGAGATGAGGATCTGACTCTATATTTCAGAAGGTTTGATTTATTATTTTATGATATATATTACATTAAAACTATACTAAAAGAATAGAAGAAAAGGTTTCATCTCAGAAGGCTGGCTAAGCTAAGAATAGAAAGGAATGAATAACAAAGGTTTGTGGCTCGGACAGAGTCTGAGCCAGCTGACTGTGATTGGCCATTAATTCCAAATATCTACATGAGACCAATCACAGATGCACCTGTTGCATTCCACAGCAGCAGATAATCATTGTTTGCATTTTGTCCCCGAGGCCTCTCAGCTTCTCAGGAGGAAAAAATTCTGACAAAGGAAAGGATTTTCCATAAAATGTGTCTGTGACAGGGCCCTGCAGCAGAACCTGGCTCCTGGAGCTGCTGTGGAGAAAGAGCTGGGCTTTCTTTGGGTGAGAAAGGGCCCTGCCAAGAGCTCTCTGCTTGGTCTTGCAGAGCTGAAGTGTATTTCCCAAAGCACCTGCAGGTTTTGCTCCTGCCCCTTTGCAAGGCTCTCTGGTCACTCTGACAGCCCAGTTCTCTGCTGGCAGCTCTGTGGCACTCAGGGTTTGCCAGTGTGGACACCTCCTGCACAAACACAAGAGCCCTTCAGCAGACACTGCTCTGGAATGCAGGGGAAACTGCTCCTCATACCAATACTGCCAAATTTATTTCACTAGTGACATAAATCCAGATTTTAATCCACTTCCTTCACCTCTCTCCTCCACCCTACCCAGAAGACTGAGTCACAGTCTGGCCCCATGGGAACTTCTGACTATGAGAGATAACAGACTTTAGCACATTTGGACAGCCAAATTTATTACTAAGCTTAGCTGGAGACTGATGTGCCTGTTAGTAAAGGGGCTGGCATGTGAGCTGGGCTGACAACAGCACCCAGCCCCTGCTAGACACGAGCACACCCTGCCCTGAGAGGGACAGGGGAGTGAGCCACCTTCTGAGAGATGGAAAACATTCCCATTTTCCTAGAGGGGAAGGTCTGTCCCTGTTCCTGCCTGCAAGGGATTTTAAACATCCCCTTGAAGGAAGGGGATTGTTTCAGAGACTGTTTTCTGTAAAGAGACACCAGGATTGCAGTGCCAGTAACGCAACTGTCAGAATTCTGGTATCAATACAAGGTTTCCCATCTCTAGCTGGACAACTGGCATCACATCCTGCCACCAAACCACGTCCCCAGACCCTGCCTGCTCCCTGCAAAGTGCCTGGTGACAGCACAGGTGTGCAGACAGACAGACAGACAGACTCTGTGCATTGTCCATGGAGGGCTCACAGCTGCACCCAGCAGTGCTGCTGCTGACACAAATCCTCCCCTGTCACAGACACCTTCCATGAAAAATCTTTTCTTTAAGATTTTTCCTCTTGAGAAGCCTCAAGTACAAAATGTAAACAATGGTTATGTGCTGCTATGGAATGTAACAGGTGAATCTGTGATTAGTCTCATAGAGTTGTTTCTAATTAATAGCTAATCACAGTCAGCTGACTCAGACTCTTTGTCCGAGCCACAAGCTTTTGTTATCATTCTTTTTTTTTTATTCTCAGTTAACTTCCTAATAAAATTCCTAATAAAACTTCCTAATTTCCTAATTAACTTCCTAATAAAACATGTTTTCAGTACAGTTTTAATATAATATATATCATAAAATAATAAATCAAGCCTTCTGAAACATGGAGTCAGATCCTTGTCTCTTCCCTCATCCTCAGAGCCTGTCAACACAGTCACACACCCCACTGCAGGAAGAGGAGAACCCGGCCCAGGATATGGCCCGGGATGGTCCAGGATAGCCCAGCAGGGCTAGAACAGGGCCAGAACAGGGCTCATACTCACGGTCCAGTCCGTTCAAGTAGCACATGCGGATCTCGCAGTGGCCCCACACGGCGCTCACCACCGGGTACAGCTTCTTGCCCTTGAGCCCGCGGAAGGCCACCCCCATGTACTGCCCGTCCACGATGAAGCTGAGCGTGCCATCGTCCATGTCCAGCACCACCAGGAAGGAGTCGGGCACGATGAAGGTCTCGTCGGGCTCCAGGAAGGCGGGGTAGGTCTTGCTGGGCTGGTTCTTGCCGTCGTGGTAGAGTCTGTTGCGGCCCAGGTCCCAGCCCCAGGACTCGTGGTTGTTGCCCACCAGGGTGGTGTAGCCCACAGAGTGCAGCGGCGCCTCGGCCGTGGCCACCCCCACGACGGCGTGGGTGCCGCGCTGGCGCATGGCCCAGGTGATCTGCCACACGTGCAGCCCCCGCGTGTAGCCCACCTTGCCGCGGATGGCGTCCGTGCTCTGCGCCACCGGGTGCCGGTGGAACATGAGCTTGTCGTCCTCCTTGACGAACACGTTCAGCGAGCGGTCGTCGTTGTTCCACGAGTGCAGCAGCTGCACCTCGTAGGACACGGGGGGCATGTCCAGCAGCAGCTCCAGCCGCGTGGGCTTGCTGTAGTCCAGCCCCTGCAGCTCCTGCTTCAGCGGCCGGTACACAGGGTCCCTCATGTCCACGGTCTTTATCCCCCCCGTGACCTTCTGACCCATGGCTGGCCTCCTCACAGGCTCATCGATTCACCTGGCAGCTCCTGCTGTCATCCAGCCCCGCAGCAAAGGCTGCCAGGAGGCTCTGTCCAGATGTGCACCGCTCAGGATTGCCTAATGGACGGAAAGAACAACAAGAGACGAGTTAAACATTAGCACTCTCAGCGCTGTGTGCCACACTCGCAGAGCACAGCGTTCAGCTGTTTGTCCCAACAAGGTGTTTATCCCAACAAGGAAAGAAAAAACAAGAGATGAGTTAAACATTTGCACCCTCAGTGCTGTGTGCCACACTGCCAGAGCACAGCGTTCAGCTGCTTGTCCCAACAAGGTGCGCTCCCTTCCCACCAGCTGGCCTCGGGTGCAGGGCTCAGGAGACAATTCTCTGCAGCTGAGTACCTCGGGGCCTGGCTGCCAGTCCACAGCAGCAGCCCAAAGCTGCTGGGGGACCCTCATCCAGCAGCTCTGGCCCCTCCAAACCCCTGCAGCAAGGGCAGTAAACCTTTGCCTGGCTCGTCCCAAGTGAGCAGCTTCTCTTCTCCAAGAGGGAAAGAAATCCCCAGTTGCAGAGTCCAGGGGGAGGAGCAAGATCCTTCCCACAGTTGAGCAGATTTCCTTCCAGACTGCAGAGGAACCTCGGAGAGGTCTGAGCCAGCTTGGCCAGAGAGCCCTGCTCGCTCTGTGCACCTCTGCTCCAGCACTGCATCCACTCCAGTGCCTCTGCTCTCACTCAGCAACACAAACAGCCCTCTGTCACACAGCTGCCAAACTGGGGGCAGCTATTAGGAGAATTAGGAGTGGGAGGGGTGCAAACGAGCTTTCTAAGAAAAAAAAGTGTTATTTTAACATTTCCTGAAGTGAGGCAATCATGCAGCGCTCCTGCCAGCTACAGTCACAACACTTACTCACAACCAAGGACCTCATCTGGCATAGAAAACAGAGCATGAATCAGATCGGGTTTAAAAATAAGATTACTGGACATCAGCAAGGCTCCAGCTAGGAGGTGAACAGGGAGGGCTCACTGTGTTCTGGGTTAGGGGTGAATTCAGCAGCTTCCCCACAGTCTTTTCCTACCAAGGTATGAACAGTGAGCTAAATCCCAATTTTAAGTAACAAGAGACATGACTATTTATTCTTTCCTTACCCACTTTTTTAAAAAATCATGAATGGAGAGGAAAATGCCTGAGATTCTTTGAAAGTTACATCCCAATGCACAGGCTACAGTACAGACATTTCAAACCATTCAGGGACCTCAGATGTTGGGCACGGAGACAGAAGATGCCATTTAAATAGGCTCCAACCATGTTATCAGCTGCTGAGATGACCACCACACATCCTGGAAGTGAAATAAATGCCATCCACAACATCCAAACAAATCCTGGCCTGTGTAAGCCAGCTGGTCACCAGCTGAAAAAAGGAATAACAGCAGAACCAGCTGAGGGAGGGCAGCAGGGGATGGCAGGGCATGCCATGGCTGAGCTGCTGTGCCCCATGAGTTTCCAAGGCTCACAGCCCCTCAGGAACAGCAGCATCTCCAGCCAAGGCATCCCCAGAGCAAGCCAAAGCAGACACCAGCTGAGCTTCCCCAGGACAGGCAGGTTAAAGCTGACCCAAAGTGATTTTGGAAAAGGTTCAGAGCAGGCTCCTTGCTCAGCTGGGATGAAACCAGACAGCAGCACCAGGTGAAAGCCCTGGCATCCCACGCCTGAGGCACATGGACAAAAGCTGACAGCAAGGAACTGGCAAGGCACACGTGGGAGTCCACAGGCAAATCCAGCTGCTGGAATTTTGATTAGGATAAGGGAACAAAACATTGGCAGAGGGAGGAGAGGCAGAGATTTCCTGTGCAGTACATGTGAGAGCACAGCATAGGAAACAAGACCCAAAACAAAGCAGGCTGCAGGAGTGCAGACCTCTTTGAAGCACACAACACCCAGGAGAAGCGAGGGAACACAACCGTGCTCTTCATTAGCAAAACAATGCCTTGTTCATTGTGGCTTTCTGCCTTTTGCCAACATAAGCTCCATCATATTTCTCTGAGGCTGCTGCAGCAGGAAGGGAAAGGGAATCACCCCAGGGAGATTCCAAACACAGGCACCACTCATCCCCTGCACTGCTCACAGCAGGTGAAAGCCAATGGCCAGAATAAAGAGAAAGGGGTGAAGAAAGGGAGAAGGTTGAAGCAGAGGGTGGGTCAGAGTGAGAGCAGGGCAGGTACAGCCAGCCCATGCCAGGATTGAGTGCAATACATCTCCTTGTTAGGGCAGGGCAATAATCCCTGCCCACAGCTGGCTCTGTGCTCCTGGCACCAGGCCTAGCACTGCAGAGTGGCACCTTGCCCTCTGCCAGGAGCACAGTGATGCCCTCATCTCCTGAAAGGAACAGCCTCTGCACGCACAAGACAATGCAGGCACTCTCCTGCAGCAGGAGGAGACAGAAAGGCTCATCCTGTGAAATTAAAGGATTAATGCCCTGGGCAGCCCCACAGAGACACAGCCAGCCATAAATGAGTAGACAGGCTGGGGAATGAGCTGCTGCAGGTTTAAGTACAAATGTAAACACTGAAAGTGCTTTTATCTGTCTTATCAACAGCTCAGGCTTGCTGCAACTCTGCTCTGCTTTGCCAACACCAGCTCATCCCCACTCCTGCTCCCTGCTATAGTCAGTTCCATTGTTAACCTCATGGGCTAAAAATCCAGGCAGTGAAATCCTAAGGGTGCCTCAGAGAAAAGGATTCCCTGCTATTTTCAGTGAGAATCAGCCCTCCCTTCCATTTAGGTGTTCAGAGCAAGGTGTCAGTTTGCCGTGCTGGAAGGAAATGCCAGGCTCCAAAACAAGTGATGGTGCAAATAGATCAGGGCAGGAGACAGCAGAGACATTGAAATGGAAGGAAAATCCTGCTGTTAAATAGGAGAGCACAGCTCTGCAAGCAAGGCACTGCCTGTGCAGGGCAGAGCTGGTGCCCAGCTCAGGAACTCTGGTCCCTCTCAGAGTTTGTCCCTCCCTTGCACTGCACCCACAGGACACCTGTGTGCAGCACCAACAACAGGAACACTAAGGATCCTCAGCTCCTTCATTCCTGATCCACTTTTACTTTATTTCTTCAAGTCAGTTTACTGTGGCTTTATCTCCTTTCCATAAACTCATTAGGTGTACTTGTACAGATAAGAGGCCAAACCTTTACACACCTCACAGGCTCTGGGTGCTCTGCAGACAATGAATCAGAGCCCTGCCCTAGAGATTTCCAGCCTGGAACACACCTCAGCAGAAAAGGAGATATATATATATATATATATATATATACTGCACATGGTCAGGAGCCTCTAACAGCACCAAACTCAGCCCCAAAGAGCCAGGACACCCCATTTCACCTGCTCCTAGTTCAATGCCCTCTCACCCATCCCTCCAGTGATGGTTCTGGCACACTCAGGCCGTTCTGCTGAACATTTCTGCTGTTTTGGCAATGCCCTCTCACCCATCCCTCCTGTGTCTGGCTCTCCAGAACACAGCTCTGAGGTTACTCACAGCAGCACGTCTGAGTCAATGAACAGCTGAAGCAAAAACCACCACCCAGCCTCAACCAAGCCACTTGCGAGACACTTAAATTTCCACTGTCCACCTACCCAGCCAGTTCCTGTGAACTGCAACGCTGCACAATCTGGCAGAAAATAACTCTAAGCAACAGGAGAGAGCTCACTCTGCAAAGTATTTGTAAGGATGGAAGCGACTCAGGAGCAGTTCCTGAAGTTTGTGCCAGAGATCTTCTCTCCCATTGAAGGCAGGTCACAAACAGCAGTTTTGGTTGCAGAGAAAAAGAATTTCTTTAAACAAAACAAGGGAACTCGGGCTGCCTTTCCTCACAGAGGAAGTTCAGTGGATGTTTCAAAGGTCATCAGGCTCCTTCCAGCTCTGCATAAGGTAACTCATGGATGTCAACTGCTCAGGTGGGAAAGGCACAGACATCCCACACCCCCAATTTCCTTAGGTGCACCCAAGAGATGTGTCCACAACCTGCTTGCAGACTAAAAACCATCACAAATCAGTCCCATAAGCAGCAGGAGGAAAGGTCACAGGCAGAGGTTCATATCCACAGGTCCACCTTCCTTACACCTCTCTCTACCTGTCCACCTTCACCTGATTTTCCCTGTGTTATGGACACCTTGCACACAAGGCCTGCTGATTTTCCCTGTGTTATGGACACCTTGCACACAAGCCCTGCTTCCAGAGGAAGCCTCCCTACCCTCCAAGGCTGAAGCCTGTGCCTGGCACATGGCAAACACAACCCCAGTTTTATAACCCAGCAGCACTGAAAGGCCTGGTCAGACTGCCCTGTTTGCTGACTGCTTTTCCCTGCAGCACTGGAGCCATTTGAGGCTGCATTTAGAGAGGCATTTCCTGCACAATTAAACCACCGTGAATTTTAAACAGTAAATGTTTATGTTCTGAGCTATTTGCATTAAAGAAGCTCACATAATCCAGAACAAGCCACCCTCTTGCACAACTCCCTGCTTTTTGTTATTTCCCCACTTGATCTGCAGCCTGCACTGCTCACTGCCCATCCCTCATCTCTGTTTCACTAGCTGGGTTCATGAGTTTTGTCAGATAATGAGGGGAGCAGTGGAAAGAATGAAGTTTGATATTTCTACCTGTGCCCAGAGTTTCCACTCCTGTATCAAAAGCAATTTTTGGCTGTGGCCAACACCACCACCAACCCACCAGGACAAAACTCCGGATAACAAAGCACAGCTCTCCCCTAAAACAGCTCATGAATTCATTTTTTTAACAGAAACCCACGTTCTCAGCAGCCACCTACCAGAACTCCCCTGTGTCCCTTCCCAGGTGACAGCAGGGCAGAGCATTTCCCAAAAGATGCATTGAAAACATCCACAGGGGAGTGTGAGGAGTCAATCCCTGCTCCTAAAGGCAACACAACATCAGCGTCAGGAGCCACAAACCCAGCAGGACCCCTCCTGTCAGGTAAAGCAGTTGTAGCTGGAGCTATTCTAATATTAAGTTGTTCAGTTACTGTCTGTTCCTTTTTTCATTTAAGGATGTCACAAGCACTGCTAACAGTAAAGCAAAAATCCCCAGAGCAGAGCAGCTGCCAAGCACCAGATTACTCAGCCTGTTACTCCCAAACACGTTTATTGTGTCTGAAGCTGCAGCACATGTATTTACATCAAACACATCCCTGCCAGAGGGGAAGTTGTGCAAGTGTCTGGTCCTGCTCCTCGCTGCAGAGACAGCACTGCTGAAATCTGGGCCAGGCACTGGGAACAAACAAATCCTGGCCCATTGCAAGAGTCCCACCAGGAGCTGGATGCTGCTCTGATCCAGAGCCAGAGCAGCACATTCAGCAAAACCAGGGCCTCGTGGTGCACAGCTGAAGTTCTGCTCCATCCCTGCTGCACTCCAATTCTGTTTTCTCTCTCACCAGTTTACTCCTGTAAACCTTCAAAACCAGAGCCTGTCCAACTCTGGGCAACCTGTTCCAAAACTTCCATATTTCTGTTCCAAAACTTCTCATTCTTGGAGTTAAGCATCTTCCTCCCTGTCCAAGTCATTCCAGCCAGTTTCAGGTTCAATTTTGTGCTCATCCTCAGGTCAAATAACTCCTAAACAAGTGAATTCAACCCCTTGTCCCAGCTGTCAGTGCCTTCACACCCCACAGCAAACAACTCTAAGCAACACAACCATGGATCAGTTCACATGCCTTACTGCCTTACCTTGGCACATGGAAAATCTCAGCATTCCTCTGTAATATTCACCCAGATCTCTCCATCCTGGGCTTCCCAAGTGCTGAAGAACAGGACTGAGGCTGCACCCTTGTATGAAGACCCCAGTGGATCCTTCACCCTTTGAACTGCAGATTCAGGTTCTTCCTGTCCTGAGGTCTGTGGAGTCTGAGGCTGCCACCACAGAGGACAAAACCTCACAAGAGGAGACAGCTGAGTCACTGAGGAAGTGACTTTTTTCATAGTGTTTGGGAAACCATTCTGTTCACTTAGCACAAGGACGTTTTCAGAAGTCACCACCCTGCGATGCACCCAGAGCAGGAGCTCCTCACAGCTCCTTTAAGGCAAGAGCCCCAGAGCCTGTCAGACCCTCCAGCAGCTGCCCAGAGGCAAAGCCACCTGCCAAGGTGAGTTCCAGCAGGTATTTCCCTGGCCCTGCTCTGAAATGAGATCCTGGGCACAGTCGAAATGCCCCTGCTGCATCACAGGGTTCCTGTAATGTGCTGAATGATGACAGCAGCATCTTCTCTGCCATGTCCTGGCCACTGGCCAAGCCAGCCACAGCCTGGGCTTAGGAATTCTCCATTCCTGGTACAGTCTTGCTGTCCTCCCTCTGAGGATAGACAGCTTTCAACCTCCCCCTTGGAAACAGCCCTCACACCAGCTCTAGGAAGCACTGCAGGAACAGGGCTGCGCTTTTTAACTGGAAAAGATGGAAGCCGAAATCTGGATGCTCACACAGAGCTGCTGCTCAGGACAAGTCCTTGGAGGCAGGGCCAGCTCTGGACACGGATTGCTGCAGTGCCACAGCCCTGCCTGTGCTCCCCCAGCCCCTCCTCACCTCGGGCTGCGGTTGGCACCCCTGAAACTGCAGCTGTGAGGAGAGCATCCTGCACACATCCTGTGCATGGCACCAGTGTCTGGCACCTCCTCTCCCACCTGCAGCCTCCCCCTGCACCTCCCAGCCCAGAGGGAGCCACTGGAGCTCCCAGGTGAGGAGGGGTCTGCACCTTCGCCTGTCACAGCAAGCAGGGCTCAGCAGCTCCCAGCCTTCAGATTTCCTTCCAAGGAACGTGGAATTACCTCCAAGATAAAACCAGCAGTTTTGTTAGCAAAGTTAACTGGGTACTTTGCTTTGAAATACAGTTTCTTCCCCTGCATCAAAGGGCTGTTAATTTTAGTCTTGTAGCAAGAAAAAATAAGTAGAAGAAATGAAAGCAGCATCTGCTTGGAAGAGATGAATGCAAGATAAAAGGTGTCTGTGACAGAAAGCTGGCAGCAGCCTTATGTTTTCTATTCAAGTTAAATCTGGGAACAACAACCACCCTTAAACATAACAAAAGCTGTGGAAATACCCTTTCCAAATCCAACAGCATCGCCAGAAGATGCAATTTCTCTTCTCCAATCACTGCAGCAGCCAGTTGAGGTGAGGAGCCCAGACAAACCCAAGCTTGCAATACCAGGGTCAGGTCACCCAGACCTCGGCTTGCTCAAGGCCACAACATCCCTGCTTCAGCCTCCAGCTCCTTCTCCCTTCCCCAGGCCTCCAGAGCTTCCCAGAGGGCTCCCAGAGCAGAAGGAAGCTCCCAAGTGCTGAACCAGGAGGATATTCCTGGCAGAGAGATTGCACAAGAGAGACTGCTCACACTGCCAGCTTTACTGGAACACACTCAGCAGCTCCCCAGAGCACAGCATGCCGGGACCAGGCTGGATTTCTGACTTGTCATTAGCCAAAAAAGTTTAATGACACGGTTGGGCTCTGTGTTTAGCTATAATTGACCTGGGACATCCCATAATTAGGAGGAGACACTGCACATCTCACTGGGGCTGGCAGCGAGCACAGACTCAGTGATGCAATGCTCTGCTTTCCCCATCACCTGAAAGGGTCCCTGGAAAGGGCTGTGGTGCTCTGAGACAGGCAGGGTGACCCAAAGCCTTTGGCTGCCTTCCTAAATCATCCACCAAAAGGCTCCACAAAGCAGCAATTCTGAGAAGCTTTTCTAGCTCTCCTGCTCAAAGTTTTATCCCTGTAAAAGCTCAACCAGACAAATCAGATTTGCAAGTGCAGAGTGCACCAAAAAGAGGAGGATAAAAGCACATTATACAAACTGTGGCTGCAGGAATGCACATGCTGCTTTCAAAGGCACCTGCACGGTAAGGTGGCCAGATATCCCAGAGCAACTTTTTCCTGGAAATAGCAGTTGTGGCAATACAGAACAAATGTTTTTGCCAAAACAAGTGACCAGGACATGCACTGCAGCATTGCTCACAGTAGCTGCAATACTGCTTCAAGTGGGAAGGGGAGAAATTTGCCCCTTAGCCTTACTGGGACACACTCAGAAATTCACTCCTAAGCAGCAGCTTCAGAAGCTTAAGCTCTGTAAATGAAGTGATATTTAAAGTGGTTTCCTCACCACCTCCAGTGTGCACCATGTCCTGCAGGGGAGGAAGGAGCCAGCCATGCTCAGCATCTGTGGTGGTGACAGGGAGTGCTAGGGTGGCTTTTATCCCTTCTGTTTCCCCATTCCAAATGCTCTGACACCACCAGGAGCCTGAGCAAGCAGGGTCTGAAGAACACACTTGTCCCTCCTTCCCTCCCTGGGGCTCCTCAGCAGACTAAACTGCGGCTTTCCCCTCTCAAACAACAAAATTCCATACCTGTAATTATGCCAACAGCTTTCTGCTGTGACTATCCAGACTTGGCCGTCCTTTCCACGAAGGAGAGGCACACAGAGAGAGCTCTGCAGTGCAGGAGACAGTGATGGAACACTCCCAAGCCCTTATCTGGGCACTCCACAGCTGCCAGCACTTCCAGCTTCAAAGGCAAGACAAAGGCTGCACAGCCAACCTATCCTCCCCACATACCTCAGCCACCACAGGTCCTCATCAGTCAGCATGCCTCCCAAAGAAGTGTTTAACATAAACATTTGGAGAGTCACTTCATTCCTGGTGAACCCAGCTATTTGATGTGGGCCACAGAAAGCTCCCATGACATCAATGGAAAGTTTCCAGTCAGAAAACCAGGGCTGAGACAGATTAATAGAAGTTAAGAAATAGGGATGAAGCAGCATTGTAGAAACAGGCAAGAGATCTGTTCTGAAGCAAGATGCACTCAACATGCTCAGGAACAAGCAGAAGAGAAGCTGCCTTGCTTTTTCAAAGTTTAGAGATCAAGAGCAGCAGTGATAAGGCAGTTGTGCTGTCTCCACTGTGCAGGCTTCTGTCTTTTCTGGGCTGCTCACTCTCAAAGTGTGTTCAGCTGTTTCTTGGCTGCTGCTGAAGCTCTGATTCCTCCTTTGGAGCAGGCTGGATGGCTTGGCCAGGATTTGCTGTGTGCAAACACCAGTTTGAAAGCAGTGAGAAAGCCACTGCCACCCACCAGCCCGTGCACCACAACCTCCCAAACACAGGACAGATGTAAACTGTCTGGAACAGCCAATGTCTGGAACATCAAACAAAGCCACCACATCCAACAGCCTTTTCCTCCATTGAAACCTCCCACCAGACTAAACTCACCTTGAGGTTTTATTCCTGCAGTCAGCTCATCACACTGCTACTGCTGACATTCAATGGAAGCATCACCTGAACCTGCCCAGGTAACACCAATGCCTTGGGGACACCAGCCAGGATGGACAGAGCTGGCTGTGGAGCCTTTCTCCATCACCCTGGAGAAACCCATCTGAGCACAGATGATTGGGCTGCCCAGCTCTTCTGTCAGGCTCCAGGCCAAACAGGGTTCCATGGAGGGCCCTGCAAAGCCACCCTGCCACCTGCTGGGCCATCAGCTCTGTCCCCCTGGACCCCAGGATCACACCTGGCACCACAAACCTGGGTCAGACCCCACTCCTGCACAGACTCCTCCTGTGGCCTCTCAGGTGTGCCGGAACAAGATTTGAGAGCACGCTGAATGTTCTCCTGTTGAGAAGGGTTTTATGCCAGTGCAATCCCGCTGTGCACCTTGAAATGGAGATTCCCATGAGGTCAAGGATTCTTTCAGAGCCAGTCCAGACTGAGGATTGGGTGGAGTTTTTGCCAAGTTTGAAGACAGCCTAATCCAAATAACATAAGAGCACATGCCTCTGAACAAGTGCTGGTTGTGGCACCTTCCTCTCCACTGAGTGACTGTAAGCTTCAAGTCCATTTTCCCATCTTAAACACACAGGGGGGTTTGTCCTCAGCCCTAATGCACAGCACACTGCTCTCCAGCGCCCACCTGCATCCAGAAATATCTTCCACCTAAAGCTCCAGGAGCCACTCAATTCTGATTTCTGACCAAAACTTGCAACTGCTGTGGGCACTGCTCCTTCCAGGCAGTCTGCCCAGTGTCCCCTCCCTCTGGAGGTGTTGACACACAGAGCTTGTGCCTCCTGCAGATCCAGTTCCGTGTCACACCAGGCTCTCTCAGATTACCCAGATAAAGGCTGGGATTTAACTGATTGTTACTCATGCCACAAGTGCAGGTTTGGACACTGTGGGCACTCAGGACCTGCCCCTTCCAAATCTCACCAGAGGCAGCAGCATCTGCAGCCACCCTGCTAGCCAGGACACCAAGTGTCAGTGAAACAGCTCTCCATTCCCTCCAAAGCTGCTCCTTGACACACTTTAAAAATCCAACTATTTAGCAGCTTGTTGGATCACCTGAAGATAAATTAACTAAGGCAGCCATCAAGAAATGACAGTATCCAAGTCCCACGATGGAGCTCAGTCACTGATCCATTAAAAACCATAAGACACACAGCTTGCCCTTTTTCCTCTCCCCATCTCAACCTCCAGCAAGTCAAACACACAGCCTGGAACCCCAGAAGCACAGTTTGGTGCATGGAACCCCATGCACAGCCCCAGAACCTGGCAGTGACACCGTGGGGACACCAGGGAGCCCTGACAGAGGGGACAGCACATGCAGCAGCCCATGTCTGTCACACGAGCCCGGAACAGAGAGTCCCAGCATTTCCATTTCCTGCCCACAGGCACCAAGCCAGGTACTTTCTGGATGCATACAGCCCCACAGCCCTTCTCAGCACAAGGGTCAGCAGGTTTGCTGTGCAGCTGTTGGAGTTTACAGGAACTGGGAGCAGACAGGAGCCCTCCCAGCCCAGCTCAGCCCTCACCAGCTGCTCACACAGCCCTGAGCGTTGCTTTACACGGGCACCGCCTGAGCCTTCAAACCCCAGATGCAGGACTGCCCTGGGGGACAAAGCAACCCTTCCCTCACTGCCCACATGTAAACATGATGGTTCAGCCTTAAAAGAGCACTGACAATCAAGGGAGACTGAACATCAAGGGAGATTCTCCACGTGGAGCTGCTGCCAGCACAGCACAGCACAACACAACCCCTCACACCCAGCATCCCCAGTCTCAGCAGCACAGGCCGCTGTGTGGAAGCATTTCAAGAGCCATTCTTGTTCTCCTCTCAAAGCTGCTGTCCCTGCAGCACAGAGCCTGACGTGCCACCAGCAATGAGTTAGGGCAAGAGCCACACTTTGGCCTGCTACTAACCTCCAAACATTATAGCCAGGATGCAGGCATTTTTCACATCTCTGCTTTAGGTAGATTTTCAGTTACAAGAGGCCATTCAAACCAGAATTTATCCACGGAGAAGCTTGCACCAAGAATTTCTAAACATCTGAGACCAATGTAGCCTTCTCATGTAGAGAACTGCTTGGCCTTACCCCTTGCTTGCTTTTCTTGGCACTCCACCATCCGTGGCTCACGTTCTTCAGAACGAAGTTGTTTCTGCAGTTTTTGTGCAACTGAGTGCCTTTGTACATTTATGGTGTCAAGGCCCCATCTGGGATCTCCTCAGGACAGATTCCTGCCTTGATAACATACCAGCTCTCCAAAGAAAGCAGTTTGAAGCTAACATCCACACAGCTGCTCTGACTTAGGAGCTTCATCAAATTCCCCTTCCAGGCGAAAAGAAAAAGCCCATGTTTGGTAACTCCATTCAGACATCACCACCTTCTGCCCCAAAGCTCTCAATGGCTCTCACCCTGCTATCTGGCAGATGGTGCTGCTTGTTGGGGTCCTTTTGTTTGTTTGTTTGAGTAAAAAGCTTTCTCCTTACAGAGAAAGCTTTGTAAGAGAACAAAGAAATGTGTCACTTTCTCCTCCCAGGGGAAGCTGTACTGTTACACAGCAGCAGCACTGCTTCAGCTTCAAGTCTGTCTTCCCATGTGAGTTTTTTCTGTTCTAGAACAAAGCCACGAGACAAGGAAATATCAGCGAACAAGGCCCTCCAGCCTTAAGGAAAAAAGCTAAAGCAAAGCCATGTGGCTGTTTCTGTATTAAATGAGAAAAAGATGCTAACCCAAAAGACACTGAACCTGACCTGCAATGCTGCTAAGTACAACACACAAAACACCAGACGGGAGGATGACAAGGCATCTTCCACGTGGACACGGGCAAGCCCATGCCTTGCCAACCCCAGCCCCTCACTGTGCATAGATAACACATTTCCCACCTCTTCCACCCCACTGCCAGGACGAGCCACATGGCAGAGCCCATAAATAAAGCCTGGCATTGGCATCCAGCCCAGCCCAGCCAGCAGGGAAACACTCCCTGGTTCCTCTGGGAGTGCCCAGGGAGCGGTGGCAGCAGGGCCACACATGGAGGGGACGAGGAAGGAGCAGCCTGCAGCCTTCATCCCTCCAACCACACTCCCTGGGGCACACACACACCCCGCCAGCTCGGCACAGCTGCCCTGCGCACTCAGAGCGGGACAGATGTGGCACAGCTGTCCCCAGCAGCAGCAGCACTCACACTGCTCCTCCCTGTGCTCCAGGACATCCTCCTTCCCTCCCCTCTTTGCTAAAGCCCTGAAGGGCTCTGCCAGGGCAGCCTGCAGCCCCAGGGCTGGCACAGCTGACTCAGGTTCCCTGGCACCAGGACATGGCTCATCCTGCACCGAGGGTTCTGTCAGTGCCTTCCCCACCACGCCAACCTCACCAGGGAAATTTCTTTTGTATCTCCTTCCCTCAAACACTCCAGGGTTCAGGCAGCTCGTGCCACCCCAGAGCTACAGATAAAAGCAGCTCCTGCACCAAATTAACACCCAGGAGGAGGACTTTTCCTTTTGCTGTAAAAAGCACTTAGTCTGCAAGAGAATTTTCTGACCAATGCCACAGACCAATTTACTTGATCCCAGGAGTTTCCAAAGCATTACCATTAAGGGCAGAGCAGTGCAGAGTTAAAAGGGAATGGATGTTTTAGTAGTCCCTGGGAAAACACAGTTAACAGTGGCACGTTTTCCCCACCATGTGCTTGGAAACTATTATTTTTTAGCTGTATTTTCTCACACTCAGCAGAGAGCATTTGGCCATTACCTGTAGCCCACATCCCATCTTTGTTAAGGACAGCTGCACTCTTCCCCCAGCAATTATTCATGGAAACAGAGGCAGCTACAGCAATTACTCACATGGAGTAACTCAAGGGAAGATTTCTTTGTTTTCCAGAGCACTGCAGTAACTGAAAGTGAGTCAACACCTTGACATGAGCTCATTCTGCAAAGGCCACCAGCAGAGGAACCCAGTGGCTGCAGTCTGGTACCAGACACTTACTCACTTTGACTCTGCAGGCACCACAGAGCTTTGTCTGAGAGCAACTGGTGTCTGACTCGTGACTTGGCAGGGCCAGCTGTGGGCATGAGCTCCATCACACACCTGGAGACACAAAGGAGGGGCAGCAGCTCCACAGGCAGCAGGTTTGGGGAGCTCAGAGCTCGGGCAGGGCTGCCAGCTGTTCCTCACTGCTGATATGCTGAGCTGCTCTGCAGTTAATGCATGTACAAGGCTCCTGCCACAGGACAGGAAGATAAACTCAGCCCAGCTGGAATCGTCTCACTGGTGCTCCCTGCCAGCCCCAGTTAATCCTCAGCACTGGGTGACTCCAGGCTCAGTAAATACAAGTGTGCTAAAGCCCAAAATTACAGCCACCGCTTGCCCTGGCCTCTCAGAGCCCACCAGATGCCAATTCCAGTGTATGCAGAGGCATCAGCCACAAAATGTGACCAAGACACAAACCTCAGAGAGCCACAGAACATACTCCATCCCACATCTTAAATTCTTCAAAAGCCACATTGTGACTTGGAGTATTATCTGTCAGCACTGTCTGCACTCAGTCCCAAACCCTGGCACAGTGTCCTCACTGGCTCATCAGCTACGGATCTTTAATTCCAGGAACTTAATGAATTCTTAATTAGCCCTCACAAGACAAGCAGACCTTGCAGACTGCTTTCACTTTTTCTGAGGAAGGGAAATAGGGTCCAGGGGAAAAAAGCAACGCAGAGACAGGAGAGCAACAAGCAGAGGCCATTCCCCAGCCCCAGCAGCAGCGAGGGGCTGCACACAAACACAGCACGTAGCAGTTCCTGGAACACCAGCCCACGTCCCAGCAGCAGTTTACAAACAAGCCCCAAAGCACATCAGAGTGCACTTCAGTAACCTCCCGAGCAGAGGAGAGAGGCTGCAAGGGCTGCTGCACTGCAACAGCCCAGCATCCCCTGAGGAATGCACTGAGACACTGCTGCAGCTCATCCCCTGCCTGTAAGGGGGGTGAGGAGCAAATTGCTGCTTTATGCATCCATCAGCACCACTACTGAGAGCCCTGGCAGGGCCAGCAGGGTGACACGGTGACAGGGCAGCTCAGGGGAGATGCT